CAGTTGGTCCACTCAGAAATGCAGGCAAGCTTGCCAATAAAGAGTTAAAAAAGCATGTAATGAGCTCTAGGCACAACCATCATCAGTGTATACACATAACTGATCATGGAGTCAATATTTTTTCTTCCTTTAAAAAGAATGAGGTACACACCTATGCTTATAAATCCCATGTGACAAATCATAAAAAAAAATAAAGTTCTAAGTTGATATTTGAGCACTACCAAATGCAAATTATAGTCACCTAAGTATTGCTCTTTATGACTTTATTGTGTCAGACTGTGACATGCTAATTTGCAAACAAATAGAAAGCTGCATATTTAGTATACTAAAGAAAAGGGATATATATAATGTGTGTGTGTGTATATATATATATACTTTCAATACTGCAACATGGAGTTATGAGAATAGCACTTGAGAACAAAAGGGTATCTCAAGGTCCAGCCTAGGTGGCAATACATAGTATGCTAGACTGAAGCACCAAAAGCTGTGTGACTGATTGCAGGTTTGGATCCCCCAGATCAGCCTGAAAATACACTGAGTGCATGTTGGGGTGTCTAAGATCAGGGACCTGGAGAGCTGGGGAAAGCAAATCACAACATGACAAAACCCTGTCAATGGTTCTCTCTCCTTGTGTCTCTCAGAGTTTCTCTCTCTCTCTCTCTCTCGTGTGCATGTGTTCTCTATCATTTAAGAAATAAAACTCATCTGGGAACCGGCAGGTAGAGTGGTGATTGAAGTTGAGGCACTGGATTCCCACATGACCTACCATGGTTCAAGTCCCAAAACTGGTGGTTTGCTTTCTCACTCTCCCTTTCTCTCTGTCTGTGTCTCTCTCTGGTCAGAATTGAAGAATAATTATAATAAATAAAATTAAAAATAAATCTTAAAAAAAATTAGTTGAAAAAGTTCCTCTCTCCCCTACCCTAAGTATTTCTTATTATTATAAGCCTGTAATATGTTTCATAGAATATATTTAAGTGATTATATTATAAAAATAATTATATTTTATTTACATTTTAAATGTTCTATTATCAATGTCTTATCTCTTGACCTATTTACTGGTGACATGGGTGTATTCTCTTTATGAAAATTCATCAGGTGCTACATAATTTTCTACATGTATGTTAGATTTCAAGAAAAAGTTTTTTAAAACTTTCTCATTTCTGCACTGCTGATCTCAGATGAATTATAAAAATAGTTATGTTTTGCTTTAGAGGCAACACATTTATTCTAAAGTAAAGGTTAAAACATTTTATAAAGTAATCATACATTAAGTGTGTCACAAAAGTTCATTATTTAAATGAAAAATATATATTATAGTTCTGACTTGGTCACTAACTATAGATGAATTTGAGCCTCCCTAGGCCTCAGTTTTCTCTCTCAATTAAAAAGGGTTGGGTCCCAGCCCTGAAGCCTACTGGTTAAGGGAGCCAAATGCCATGTGGCCAACCACAGTTCAAATCTTGGTCCTAGCTGCTGGGGCTGAGCCTGTGTGCACACATGACCCAAATCCTAACAAGATGAAGAAATGGAGGAGAAAGGACTGCAGTGTGACCATGGCCTATTGGTCATTCTTCTCTCTGTTTCTCTGAGTAAGAGCACATGTTCTCGGGCAATTACAAAAAGAATAAAAGGTCAAGTGAGTTACAGTCCAGTGTCTCTTCCAACTTCAGTGATATTAGGTAATAGACCAAACGAGAATTGAGACTCCTTTGGTGAATCTTTCTGTAAAGCAACAAGCCACTTCCTGTTTTATCTCTTTTGTAAACAAGAATTTAATAGGGGAAAAGGAGTAGTGGGAGTAAGAAAAACTCTGAATGAGAGATAGCTTTGGCCCATATGAGTAGGCTTTGTTAACCACCAGAAAGCCTCAGTGTAGTCACATAATTCTAGAGTCCCCAAAAAGAAGCTTCTATTTTCTGCATTAAAGTATGAAATCAATAAGACTAGGATGAACCTTTTCCAGGTGAAAGAATTGTACAGGTTCTGAGTGGAGCTAATTTAGTCAAAGAATCATTTAGTACCTAAGTATCAACTGACCTCCTGTGAATGCCAAAGTTGCCCAGTAGCTGTTTGGGATAAAATGACCAAGAAGCAGAAAGGATCCTGTCCTGTGGGCCTCAGAAGCTTAGGAGGGATACAGACAAGTAAACAAGCAATTACAGGAGGATTATATGCTAAGTTCTATGAAAAGAGAAATGGTTAAGGGAGCTGGATGCCATGTGGCCAACCACAGTTCAAATTCCTGCCTTGGTAACATGAGAGACATGCCAAGTACATGTGTGTGTGTGTGTGTGTGTGTGTGCCAAAAATCCTGAGGGAAAGGAGGAATGGAGGGAAAAAGATTATGGCATGACCATGTCCCACTGGGGGGGTGCTTTCTCTTTCTCTCTCTCTCATTAGAAAACATGTTCCCTGATAATTAAAAAGAGGAGGAGGGGGAATGAAATGTGCAGCACGAGTAAGCATATGAGACACACACAACCCACCAGGAAAGTTTTCTGGAGCAAGGGGTGTCTAAATAGTGAGTAGGAGTTAGCCATGTACCATGTGTAACATACATACTGGGAGGCATTGCAGTCCAGAATAGGACTGGGGGGTCAGACCACTTAGCTTCAACCCTCTATGCTACACTCAGTATCTGATTATCTGTGTGAGTCGAGGTAGGGCTCTTCAGCTCACCAAGCCTCAGTTTCCTTACCTGCAAAATGGGAATAATAATAGTGCTCACACGTTTCCGTAAAGGTTAGAGAAAATTCATGTAAGCCCTACTTAGCACAGCATAACTACAATTACCGTCATTATTAATAGACAGACATGAGGGAAGGATTGATAATATTCCAGGCAGAAAGCCTTACATAGACAGGCCCAGAGGGTACAAAGAACATGGCCATTGGTATTCTGAAAATAATCTAGTCCAACTAGAAAGAAGAAAGGAGGAGGCAGTAAGATGAGGCTGGAATGGAAAGCAGCCCACAGAGGGCAAAAGGCCTCTATACAGTGTGAACGGGTTTGGAGTTCATCCTAAAAGAATGGGGAACACCGAAGGCTTCTAAAAGGAGGCCCAGGATGTTCACTATCCACATTTATCAGTAAGAGAGAAATGTGCTGCCTGCGTTTTAAAATATATATTTTTTTACCCCAAAGCATGAAGGCTCTGCATCCACTAGCCAATTTCCTCTACAGAGGATATGGCCCTACAGGAATTTAATAACTCACTAACATCCAAGGATTCCCTTCCCTTGGTGAGTTTGAAATGCTGGATGCTCAAATAACTGCAGTTAATTCAGGAGAGTCATTACCAAAATAATGTAATTCAACCTAAGAGACCCAGTTCAGAAAATTAACCTAGTATATCTTTTCATGAGCCATGAGCTGCAATATACTGCAGGTCTCTCTTGAGTCATTAAACTTGCTCTATTAGATTATAGAAAATCCCAGACAACTAGCCCTGTTCTGACTGGATTTTTATAAAATGCAGATCTCTATTTTCTTTTCTTTCTTTCTTTCTTTCTTTCTTTCTTTCTTTCTTTCTTTCTTTCTTTCTTTCTTTCTTTCTTTCTTCTTCTTCTTCTTCTTCTTCTTCTTCTTCTTCTTCTTCTTCTTCTTCTTCTTCTTCTTCTTCTTCTTCTTCTTCTTCTTCTTCTTCTTCTTCTTCTTCTTCTTCTTCTTCTTCTTCTTCTTCTTCTTCTTCTTCTTCTTCTTCTTCTTCTTCTTCTTCTTCTTCTTCTTTTTTTTTAATTTGCTATAGGGTACATGCGCTTGCTGAAGAGAGACAGAGAGAGGAAAAGTGAGAAAGCATCTCCAAAGATAGATGGCCACACTATAGTCTCCCTCATTCTCTTCTTGAGATTTTGAGTATGCATACACATGCACCTTGAATATTTTTCAAGATGCCAGATCTAGAACTTGAACCATTCAGTCAGTTATGTGGGATCTAATTGCCTTAACCACCATGCCACCAGCTGATCCCAGATCTCTTTTTTCTGCCAAAGGAAGAGGAAGTATTAACCATGGGAACACACACTTTTATAATATGGGATATGAGATACACACTTCTTTTGTACTTTCATCTCTTTAGACCTGACCTCTAACAGGAACTTTAATAAAAAACAAATCAAGGCTTTTTGAGATGGATAAGTATTAGAGTAAAGTCTGTAAGGGATGAATGTGAGCACTGATGTGATTCAACCCTTATAAATGATCTGGAAGAATAAGAAAGTAATAAATCTCTGATGCAGACAACTCTAAGTGCTTCTGGGTAGTTTAATGCCAAGGCAGCCTGAGCCATTCATAGCAGTAATGGGCAGGAGAATGGCAGATGTGCTGTAAGTGTGGTTTCTATTTTGCTGTTGAAACCAGAAAAGTTGGAATATTATAAGGGGCACTGAAAGCAAAAGAGAAAGCAAACCACCATTTTTCAACCCTCTCAACCACAAAGGAAACACAGCCATGTTTGAAATGCCATGTGGTTTTATAACCATGCACATTTTTCACATATTCCAGTTAGCCAATAGACTCACTAAAATACACAGCAAGAAGACAAATATCAGTCAAAGGGCTGACCCATATGGGTCAGGATAAGATGCAACTCTCTGCAAGGCTGACCCACGTGGGAATTTATGAGATTTGAGTCTGGAGGCCGCCCTGAGTACACTGGGCATGCCCATGATCTGGAGTTGGCTGAAGCAGGGATTAGTTGCATCATTGAGACCCTGTTGTGGGCTGCTGTCTGTTTATCTGTTTCTCTCTCTCTTGCTCATGAGGAAATAAAAAAAAAATTAATAAATCTTTAAAATATATCAGTATCATGACCAGCTGATGGCACAGGAGTTACATTGCTGGACTCCAACATAGTCAACCATGGTTCAAGTCCTGGACCTGGCAACTTAAAACTCACACCGGGCGTGTGTGCATGCATGTCCGAAATCCCAAAAGGGCCTTTCTATCCCACATCTTAGCAAGGCTGCAGTGGCCACTGCTGTTCTCCCGGCTTCACAATGCTGCCCAAGGATGACAAAAGAAAGAAAGACAACAGGCAGTCAGCCAAGAAGGACAAAGACCCCATGAACGAATCTGGGGCAAGGCCAAAAAGAAGAAGTGGTCCAAAGGCAAAATAGGCACCTTTCAAATTCCCGACAATTTGTGTGGTTGTGTGTGTGTGTGTTGTATTCTATTTAATTTGATCATGCTACTGCTAGTCTCCTGTGGAGCTTTTGTTATTAGCAGATAAGGCTAAAGCAGAGTTGAGAGGAAGTAGAATAAGATACAAAAAGGAAAAAGGTAAAATTAGCCATAGCCCATAATTGTACACCGCTCGGCCTTGAGAAAGGCACAATACATGCTAATTAAGTAAATTAATATGTTGCAGGCTGAAGGGGCTATTCTAGACAGCAGGAACAAAATTTAAAACAGGTAGAGTAAGAATTTTTTTTTTTGAATTGAGGTTAGTTGAGCCATTGCTCTGAATAATTAGATGAATTTAATCCTTGAATTGAGATAAAGAATAGGACAAAAACGCTTTCTCAGGATGTTTGATATTTTTAAAAATCTGAGGGCTAAGAAACTTTCTTTCTTTATTTTTTATTTTTTTATTGTTTTTTATGTTTTTGCCAAAGGGTGCATGTGCTTGTGGTGAGAGATAGAGAGACAGTGAGACAGAAAGTGAGAAACCATCTCCTAGAGGGTATGGCCACACCACAACACCTTCTCCTCGATTTTCCTCTCAGGATCTTGAGCACTCATGCACACAGGCCTGATGTGATTTTCAAGCTGCTGATTCAGGACTTGAACTGGGAGTCCAACACCTTAACCACTATGCCACCTGCTTGTCCTGGGCTAAGAAACTTTACACTTACGAAAACTTTTTAAGAAATTGCCCAGTTACTGTTCTACTAATTAAACTGTACAATGAAAATCTTCATACCTTTCAAGTAAGTTTAACATTCTGCTCCAATTTTAGGCAGAAGTTTCATTCCCCAAATGTTTACTAGTTTTATGTAACATAATTGGAATGAACAAAAGATTTCAGGTTAAGTATTAGGCTGTCAGGAAAGTCATGATGCATTTTTGCATTAAAAAAAAAAAAAAACAGAAAAATACGTCATGACTTTCCCAACAACCTAATAATTTGTCCAAAGTTCTGGGCAATGCCTAGGCCTACATCAGGAATAGAGGTCTTCGTCAGGTTATGTTGATTTGGACATTTAAAGCCTGATGCTAACCAGCTGGGTTACATACATGTGGGAGCTAGCTTAGAGCAGAGTCAGCGCAGCTCCACAGTCAAACAGCCTTGTGCCAGTTGGTCCACTCAGAAATGCAGGCAAGCTTGCCAATAAAGAGTTAAAAAAGCATGTAATGAGCTCTAGGCACAACCATCATCAGTGTATACACATAACTGATCATGGAGTCAATATTTTTTCTTCCTTTAAAAAGAATGAGGTACACACCTATGCTTATAAATCCCATGTGACAAATCATAAAAAAAAATAAAGTTCTAAGTTGATATTTGAGCACTACCAAATGCAAATTATAGTCACCTAAGTATTGCTCTTTATGACTTTATTGTGTCAGACTGTGACATGCTAATTTGCAAACAAATAGAAAGCTGCATATTTAGTATACTAAAGAAAAGGGATATATATAATGTGTGTGTGTGTATATATATATATACTTTCAATACTGCAACATGGAGTTATGAGAATAGCACTTGAGAACAAAAGGGTATCTCAAGGTCCAGCCTAGGTGGCAATACATAGTATGCTAGACTGAAGCACCAAAAGCTGTGTGACTGATTGCAGGTTTGGATCCCCCAGATCAGCCTGAAAATACACTGAGTGCATGTTGGGGTGTCTAAGATCAGGGACCTGGAGAGCTGGGGAAAGCAAATCACAACATGACAAAACCCTGTCAATGGTTCTCTCTCCTTGTGTCTCTCAGAGTTTCTCTCTCTCTCTCTCTCTCGTGTGCATGTGTTCTCTATCATTTAAGAAATAAAACTCATCTGGGAACCGGCAGGTAGAGTGGTGATTGAAGTTGAGGCACTGGATTCCCACATGACCTACCATGGTTCAAGTCCCAAAACTGGTGGTTTGCTTTCTCACTCTCCCTTTCTCTCTGTCTGTGTCTCTCTCTGGTCAGAATTGAAGAATAATTATAATAAATAAAATTAAAAATAAATCTTAAAAAAAATTAGTTGAAAAAGTTCCTCTCTCCCCTACCCTAAGTATTTCTTATTATTATTAGCCTGTAATATGTTTCATAGAATATATTTAAGTGATTATATTATAAAAATAATTATATTTTATTTACATTTTAAATGTTCTATTATCAATGTCTTATCTCTTGACCTATTTACTGGTGACATGGGTGTATTCTCTTTATGAAAATTCATCAGGTGCTACATAATTTTCTACATGTATGTTAGATTTCAAGAAAAAGTTTTTTAAAACTTTCTCATTTCTGCACTGCTGATCTCAGATGAATTATAAAAATAGTTATGTTTTGCTTTAGAGGCAACACATTTATTCTAAAGTAAAGGTTAAAACATTTTATAAAGTAATCATACATTAAGTGTGTCACAAAAGTTCATTATTTAAATGAAAAATATATATTATAGTTCTGACTTGGTCACTAACTATAGATGAATTTGAGCCTCCCTAGGCCTCAGTTTTCTCTCTCAATTAAAAAGGGTTGGGTCCCAGCCCTGAAGCCTACTGGTTAAGGGAGCCAAATGCCATGTGGCCAACCACAGTTCAAATCTTGGTCCTAGCTGCTGGGGCTGAGCCTGTGTGCACACATGACCCAAATCCTAACAAGATGAAGAAATGGAGGAGAAAGGACTGCAGTGTGACCATGGCCTATTGGTCATTCTTCTCTCTGTTTCTCTGAGTAAGAGCACATGTTCTCGGGCAATTACAAAAAGAATAAAAGGTCAAGTGAGTTACAGTCCAGTGTCTCTTCCAACTTCAGTGATATTAGGTAATAGACCAAACGAGAATTGAGACTCCTTTGGTGAATCTTTCTGTAAAGCAACAAGCCACTTCCTGTTTTATCTCTTTTGTAAACAAGAATTTAATAGGGGAAAAGGAGTAGTGGGAGTAAGAAAAACTCTGAATGAGAGATAGCTTTGGCCCATATGAGTAGGCTTTGTTAACCACCAGAAAGCCTCAGTGTAGTCACATAATTCTAGAGTCCCCAAAAAGAAGCTTCTATTTTCTGCATTAAAGTATGAAATCAATAAGACTAGGATGAACCTTTTCCAGGTGAAAGAATTGTACAGGTTCTGAGTGGAGCTAATTTAGTCAAAGAATCATTTAGTACCTAAGTATCAACTGACCTCCTGTGAATGCCAAAGTTGCCCAGTAGCTGTTTGGGATAAAATGACCAAGAAGCAGAAAGGATCCTGTCCTGTGGGCCTCAGAAGCTTAGGAGGGATACAGACAAGTAAACAAGCAATTACAGGAGGATTATATGCTAAGTTCTATGAAAAGAGAAATGGTTAAGGGAGCTGGATGCCATGTGGCCAACCACAGTTCAAATTCCTGCCTTGGTAACATGAGAGACATGCCAAGTACATGTGTGTGTGTGTGTGTGTGTGTGTGCCAAAAATCCTGAGGGAAAGGAGGAATGGAGGGAAAAAGATTATGGCATGACCATGTCCCACTGGGGGGGTGCTTTCTCTTTCTCTCTCTCTCATTAGAAAACATGTTCCCTGATAATTAAAAAGAGGAGGAGGGGGAATGAAATGTGCAGCACGAGTAAGCATATGAGACACACACAACCCACCAGGAAAGTTTTCTGGAGCAAGGGGTGTCTAAATAGTGAGTAGGAGTTAGCCATGTACCATGTGTAACATACATACTGGGAGGCATTGCAGTCCAGAATAGGACTGGGGGGTCAGACCACTTAGCTTCAACCCTCTATGCTACACTCAGTATCTGATTATCTGTGTGAGTCGAGGTAGGGCTCTTCAGCTCACCAAGCCTCAGTTTCCTTACCTGCAAAATGGGAATAATAATAGTGCTCACACGTTTCCGTAAAGGTTAGAGAAAATTCATGTAAGCCCTACTTAGCACAGCATAACTACAATTACCGTCATTATTAATAGACAGACATGAGGGAAGGATTGATAATATTCCAGGCAGAAAGCCTTACATAGACAGGCCCAGAGGGTACAAAGAACATGGCCATTGGTATTCTGAAAATAATCTAGTCCAACTAGAAAGAAGAAAGGAGGAGGCAGTAAGATGAGGCTGGAATGGAAAGCAGCCCACAGAGGGCAAAAGGCCTCTATACAGTGTGAACGGGTTTGGAGTTCATCCTAAAAGAATGGGGAACACCGAAGGCTTCTAAAAGGAGGCCCAGGATGTTCACTATCCACATTTATCAGTAAGAGAGAAATGTGCTGCCTGCGTTTTAAAATATATATTTTTTTACCCCAAAGCATGAAGGCTCTGCATCCACTAGCCAATTTCCTCTACAGAGGATATGGCCCTACAGGAATTTAATAACTCACTAACATCCAAGGATTCCCTTCCCTTGGTGAGTTTGAAATGCTGGATGCTCAAATAACTGCAGTTAATTCAGGAGAGTCATTACCAAAATAATGTAATTCAACCTAAGAGACCCAGTTCAGAAAATTAACCTAGTATATCTTTTCATGAGCCATGAGCTGCAATATACTGCAGGTCTCTCTTGAGTCATTAAACTTGCTCTATTAGATTATAGAAAATCCCAGACAACTAGCCCTGTTCTGACTGGATTTTTATAAAATGCAGATCTCTATTTTCTTTTCTTTCTTTCTTTCTTTCTTTCTTTCTTTCTTTCTTTCTTTCTTTCTTTCTTTCTTTCTTTCTTTCTTCTTCTTCTTCTTCTTCTTCTTCTTCTTCTTCTTCTTCTTCTTCTTCTTCTTCTTTTTTTTTAATTTGCTATAGGGTACATGCGCTTGCTGAAGAGAGACAGAGAGAGGAAAAGTGAGAAAGCATCTCCAAAGATAGATGGCCACACTATAGTCTCCCTCATTCTCTTCTTGAGATTTTGAGTATGCATACACATGCACCTTGAATATTTTTCAAGATGCCAGATCTAGAACTTGAACCATTCAGTCAGTTATGTGGGATCTAATTGCCTTAACCACCATGCCACCAGCTGATCCCAGATCTCTTTTTTCTGCCAAAGGAAGAGGAAGTATTAACCATGGGAACACACACTTTTATAATATGGGATATGAGATACACACTTCTTTTGTACTTTCATCTCTTTAGACCTGACCTCTAACAGGAACTTTAATAAAAAACAAATCAAGGCTTTTTGAGATGGATAAGTATTAGAGTAAAGTCTGTAAGGGATGAATGTGAGCACTGATGTGATTCAACCCTTATAAATGATCTGGAAGAATAAGAAAGTAATAAATCTCTGATGCAGACAACTCTAAGTGCTTCTGGGTAGTTTAATGCCAAGGCAGCCTGAGCCATTCATAGCAGTAATGGGCAGGAGAATGGCAGATGTGCTGTAAGTGTGGTTTCTATTTTGCTGTTGAAACCAGAAAAGTTGGAATATTATAAGGGGCACTGAAAGCAAAAGAGAAAGCAAACCACCATTTTTCAACCCTCTCAACCACAAAGGAAACACAGCCATGTTTGAAATGCCATGTGGTTTTATAACCATGCACATTTTTCACATATTCCAGTTAGCCAATAGACTCACTAAAATACACAGCAAGAAGACAAATATCAGTCAAAGGGCTGACCCATATGGGTCAGGATAAGATGCAACTCTCTGCAAGGCTGACCCACGTGGGAATTTATGAGATTTGAGTCTGGAGGCCGCCCTGAGTACACTGGGCATGCCCATGATCTGGAGTTGGCTGAAGCAGGGATTAGTTGCATCATTGAGACCCTGTTGTGGGCTGCTGTCTGTTTATCTGTTTCTCTCTCTCTTGCTCATGAGGAAATAAAAAAAAAATTAATAAATCTTTAAAATATATCAGTATCATGACCAGCTGATGGCACAGGAGTTACATTGCTGGACTCCAACATAGTCAACCATGGTTCAAGTCCTGGACCTGGCAACTTAAAACTCACACCGGGCGTGTGTGCATGCATGTCCGAAATCCCAAAAGGGCCTTTCTATCCCACATCTTAGCAAGGCTGCAGTGGCCACTGCTGTTCTCCCGGCTTCACAATGCTGCCCAAGGATGACAAAAGAAAGAAAGACAACAGGCAGTCAGCCAAGAAGGACAAAGACCCCATGAACGAATCTGGGGCAAGGCCAAAAAGAAGAAGTGGTCCAAAGGCAAAATTCGAGACAAGCTCAATAACCTGCTTTTGTTTGACAAAGCTACATACGACAAATTCTGCAAGGAAGTTCCCAACTATAAGCTCATAACCCTAGCTATGGTTTCTGAGAGGCTGAAGATTCGTGGTTCCCTGGCCAAGGCAGCACTTCAGGAGCTTCTTAGTAAAGGACTTATCAAACTAGTTTCAAAGCACCAGAAATACCAAGGGTGGAGATGCCCCAGCTGCTGGTGAAGATGCATAAACAGGTATAATCAAGTGTACATTTGTAGAAATAAAAATTTATTAAACCAAAAAAATAAAAAAAATCCCAAGAGAAAAATAGGGTTGCAACGTGACCATCCCCCAGGGGGATGGATTTCTCACTTTCTGTCTCTCTCTTTCTCTGTCTCTCTGGCAAGTACATGACCTCCTATAGCAAAAAAACTCTCTAAATATATATGTGTGTGTATGTGTGTTAGTAACAATAATATAATATACATATATATTAGTAACAAATATCACTTTATTTACGCATTTAGTATTTATTGCAAATTATTAATAGCTAAATGCAAGTTACCATCTTTGTTTTTTTTTTTTTTGATTGGAGTAAGGTACCATCTTAATAACTGGGAGCAATATCAAAGGACAAGATACATACTCTTACTTCACGAGGCCTACTATTTAGTAGATACAACAAGAACAAAATAACACAAGCACAAAATAATAAAAACCACAACAGAGAAGCAAATAAAGAGTTAAGAATCAACCATCTTGCAAATATTTGAGGGATATTACTATGTCAATAATTCATCCACACATACACACACATGATCTATTTTTATTAACCTTGTTCATTTTAAGGCTTAATCTGGTCAGCAATGATCCTTGTGATTTTACTAACTGACAATTCTATTAATAACCACAGCCAGCAGCCAGTAATGATCGTTATGTCATAACGAAAATAGGAAAAAGTTTCTGAATGGGGCTAAACTCTAAGGTTGTTATCAATAGTGGATATTAAGATGGTAGACTTGAGACCAGCAGATGGCATATTGCTTACTTCACTGGACTCCCATGTAGCTGACCACGGTTAGAGTCCCAGACCTGGCAGCTTGAAACTCATGCTGGGCATGTATGTGTACATGCCCAAATTTCTGAGAGAAGAAGGGATTATGGTGTGGCATGCCCCCTAGGGGGAGATTTCTCTCCTTCTCTCTGTCTCACTCTGTCTCTCTGGCAAGCATACATGTCCTATAACAAAAATCTCTCTTAAAAAAAACCAGATAGACTTTTTTTTAAGATGGAAGAAGGTAGAAGGAAGAGTTCATCAGCTTCTGAGTAAGATCTGCCATCATTTCTGCTACCTTTCCTCTCAGAGCATTTGGTTTATCCTGCAATAGCTACAAGGGGTAAGAGACATACCCTAAAATACTTTTCAAAGGAGTGGAATAAAAATAAGGCCACCAGGATGAAGTAGCTGACATCCCATTTCTTTCCAAGTCAACTTAAAGAAGCCATGTACTATATTAATTATATATATACCATGTATTATATTAACACTTTCTTCCCCTCCCCTGTACCACTCCAAAAGAAACACATTGGATTTATTTAGGAGAATAATTCTACTTACAAAAATGCCAGTTCTCCTCAACCCTTGTAATCAGAGTTCAAGGGGGAAATCAGTACTACTGTAGGCTTAGAAGATAAATGTATTTGAGAGTATGAATTTTTCATACCTTCTATGCAAGATACTGCAAGGAAAAAGGAGTTTTCATTTTGCTACCCAAAATACAAAGCCCTCTTACCCCTCTCTCTATGTACAGGCTTCTATGTTACTAGATACCTTCGTAGTTAGCAATGTCCCTCTCTTCATGAAACCTCTTTAACTAATGCAAATAAGAAATAGACTTGCTTCATTCTCCAGTTCCATACCCTTCCCTCCCCACAGTGGAGGGAAGTGCATATTTTTTAAGGGTCTCTCATTAACAGAATACATTTAACAAAGAATCAAGTTCCTAAAATTAATAAAATTACATTTCAGAATAGAGCAAATTTCTTAAGATCATATATTTAAAGAGAATGAAGATTTTTGAGTATATGACATTTAAAGTATTAGCAAGGAAACCAATATAGAAATACACATATATACCTGTTGAATTTTTTATTATTTTTTTAATTGCCAAAAGCATGTGTACTTATGAGATGGGGGTCTGGGGTGGGGGAGGAAGTAATCACAAATGGGGCAGGGTCATGACACAATCTTTCTCTTCCATTCCTCATTCCCAGCAGGATTTTGAGCATGTATGCACATGTGTGTTTTCCAACCATGTTTTCCAAGCCTCCAGGGTCAGGACTTGAATGACAGACCAGCCTTATGGGAACTGGCTCCCTTAACCAGTAGGATTGTAGCCTACTAGGCTTGTGGGGACTGACACTATCTGTCGGGTTTCTAGTGTACTATGGTATGCTGCTGAATGCTATGAAACTTAAAGAAAAGAAAAATTTGAGGATATAGACCCTGTTTTCAAGAAGCTTATAGTTAGTTGGGAAGACAAATTTAAAAATCTATTTAAATTAAATATAATAATTAAATATTGGAACAGTACCAAAGTGACTACTACTAAATTCAGAGAAATTAAAAAAATAAAAAGAGTGAGTGTAAATGTTAGACTTTACCTCAAAAAGAGCTTGGAGTTGTTGACAAAATCACAAAGGCTTTAGGAATTTTTGCCTTTCAGCTAGAATCATTTGGTTAGATGGAGTAAAAAAAAAATTTAATTTTATCTTTTATTTCAATTTATTTTATACATTCAATCACAATACATTACATAGCTTGTAAAGTGTATTTACACAGCACGACTACACCTCACACCAATCTAGTTGAGGATATTATACACATTATCATCAACAGACGACAATCCACTCTGTGAGACAGAGTAAAATTAATGGCAATACTGACAAGAACCTCAGTTATTGTACTGTGTTTCTGATGTTTTTAATTTTATGCCTTATTCTAAAATAGCATGAACTTTTTTAATATTGTAAACATTCTCCCACATCCAAGCCCCAAAGATGATTCCATTTTTCTTTTTCTTTTTTTATTTGCCAGAGGATGCATGTGCTTGATGGAGAGAAACAGAGACAGAAAGTGAGACAGCACCTCCCATGGGGAAAGGCCATGCTGCAATTCGTTCTCCTCCATTTTTCCCTCCTTTTGGGATTTTTTGGCATGCATGGACATGTGTCTGGTGTGTTTTCCAAGGTGCCGAGTCTGAGACTCAAAAAGCATCGTCAGACATCTGGGATCCAGCTACCTTAACCATCAGGCCAGGGGTCGGCCCCACAAAGATGATTTTTAAATAGGGTTTCAATTAATTAAGGAATGCCTATGTAGTTCAAATCATATTTTGCCTGGTTTCTTTTATTCAGAAAGATACTTGAAGTATTCTTTTCTTCTGGGTTCTCTAAAATCTGTAGTAGAAGCTGCAGAATCACAAACATATTTTGTGCTTACTAAATGGAAAAAACACATTGTTTTGGTGAAGTAGAGATTCCCATTCTGTGGTTGCTTTAACTAACAACTAAACCTTAAACTTTAGTTCAAATAAAATAAAAATCTTAATTGTGAACCAAATTAGCCTAAAAAATAAAAGTTTTGCTATAGTGTACGTGCCAGAGAGAGACAGGAAGTGAAAGAGGGAAAATGAGAAGTCACCCCTCATGAGGGATGACCACACCACAATCCCTTCTCCTGTCTCCTCTCAGGATTTTGGGCACGTATGCACATACATCTGGCATGATTCTCAAGCCACCTGGTCTGGGACTTGAACGCACAGCTGGCCACATGGGATCGAGCACCTTAACCTCCAAGTCACCTGCTGGCCCAACCAAATTAACTCTTCAACTTGGGTTTTTAAATGTCATAGTTTAGGATTCTTAGTACTTGCACTCCTTTAATCTCTAATATATAGAGAATTCTAAAGAGGTGCAAATGTAGAAGAGATGTCAAAATCAAAACAGAACATTTGGACTCAAATTGCAAAGGAAGAAAGGTAATATTTTGGAGAATCACAGGGGATATGCCTGTGGTAATTGCTTTAAATCAGTTTGAGCATATACTGCATTTTAAGGAAGTCGTTTTCCTGGTTTGTGTTATTTTTTATAAATAAACATAAACCTATAATCTTAAATGCATGGTGAGAATCTAGATAATTGCTTTTAGTTTGATAATTGGAAGTCAGCTGTGTCTCAAAACAGTGCGTCTGAAAGCTGCTCTGGGATGACACATTCTATGCACTCAGAATGATAGGCGTGAAGGAATTCCTTCTTACAGCAACAGAGCACCTGTGCTCACTTTGGCAGAGTCTCCAAGATTTTGTTTCATTCTTCTACAGTTCTCACAAATATGGACCAAGATATTCAGAGGTTTAGAAAATACAGTATCAATTCTTTTGTTGCTAAATTAAAAACTAAATTGTCTCCAAACTATCCAACTTCACACCTACACACAAAAGTTATAACATCCTAGTTCAAAGCTTCTAACTACTGTGCCCATATGAGGATTATAATGCATGACAGTCGTGATTATTCAAAGACTAATTATGTAGGCCAGGCACTTTAGCTTGTCCCTATTCCCTTGGTTTTCTACCATTTGGTTATTTTAAGGTTCACTGGTCTCTTCACATGAGGCATAGAGAAAATAAAAGGTGAAACACAGATCAACAAAGTTTAACTTCTCACATGATCTACTAAAAAGTATGGGATAGAAGAAGCAGATGAAATAGTTAACATGAAAATCAAAGTTCTCTATGTATTTAATTTATTTATAGTGTTCACTCTTTGCAGCAGTAAGCTTACCAGATGTCTTGAATTAAGTAAAATAAAACTTGATTTTGGCTTTCTGACCTTCCTACTATTTCACATTATTGATTAATTTCGTCCCTCATCTCTTCCTCTCTTTGTCCTTCCTTCTCTCTTTGTTTTCTTGCTGTCAGCAGAAATGACATTTCCTCTCTAAGTGATAGTCCCTTCATTTCTGTGAAGGGGAATCCCTAGGATTTCCAGGCCTTTGCCACTACTCTTTTTTTTTTTTTTTTTTTGGAGAGGGTTTTTTTTGTTTGTTTGTTTGTTTGTTTGTTTGCCATAGGGCGAATGCGCTCACCAGACAGAGAGAGACAGAGAGACAGAAAGCAGGAAATCACCCCCCAGGGGAGATGGCCATGCTGCAATCCCTTCTCCTCCATTCTCCTCTT